GGGTTTAGGGTTTAGGGTTTCGCTCGTGGGTTAAGAAAGAGAGCCCATTCTAGTCTAGTCTAGTGTAGCTTAGGGCTGTGCAGTATAGTATACTGTAGTCATAGTATATTGTAGTATGATAGTAGTATGGTATAGTAACGTATAGTAGAGTAGAGTAGTATAGTTCAGTATAGCATATCATGATATAGTATAGCATAGCAACGCAGAGTATAGTATAGTATAGTATCGTATAGTGCAGTATAGTATAGTATGGTATAACACAGTATAGTATAGTATGTTTGATCCCCAAATCCCTGAACGTTTTGTACTTCCAACAAGGCTTTTCGGTACAACAGAATATAGTTAGATGGGGACGAGGAGATAATATCAAAACATATTCAGACCCGGATATTACGCTTACTCTAAACCCTCAACCCTGACCCTAAACCTCTAGTAGCCCTCACCCTAAACCCTACCTCAGACTACCCTAACCTGTTTTTTGTAGGTTCTTATTTGTGGGTTTCCGAAAATAGGGGACCCTAATATAGTACCCTAAATAGTAGGACCCTCATTATAAGGACCCCAAAATGAGGTACCCCTATTTTCGGAAACTCCCAGTTTGCTCCTTTTCCAAGTCCTTTGTTTGCTTGGCCACTGCCTTCCCTTCCTTGGACAGCCGGGCCTTCTTGGCCTCAGATCCCAAGGGTGGGTTTAGGGTTCAGGGTTTAGGGTTTAGGGTTTAGGGGTTATAGTCTTATAGTTATGAACTCCTATACGCTTTTCTAGCGATTTTTAGGTAGCCTTAATAGCTTTTGTAGACTTGGTTAAAAATGTAGAGGCCTTGTATGAAGAACTAGAGTAAGGACATCCACACGGTGGTGCTTAAACAAAAACCGTCGGGGTAGTCGAAATCGATATCTACCTTGCTTCTGCCCACCTCTGTGGAGCTTCTACAATGGGGCTTTGTAGGAGGATCCTTCAAACAAGTCGGTGCCAGTAGTTTAAGGTCTGTGTAACAGATCTTGCACCAGCCAAAATTCCTCCGCAACGCTGTCCGAACATCAGTGACGTCACCACTGCGTCGTGAAGCATGGTGACGGAACAAGCAACTGAAACCCAAACTGGCGAGTACTATAGAGCCCTGCTAATGGCGATAGGGTCTTAGGGTACACTGTAAATACTCTACTGCACTCATACTACGGAGTATAAGGGAGCGATACAAATTATCCCGAGCCTTTTGTGCTCCTTTGAGAAGCCATCTTAGTACCCTTATGGGCTGTAGTACCTTTACTATATTGCTAAACCCTAAACCCGAAACTAAACCCTAAACCCTTATGGTCTTTAGTACCTTTACTATATTTATTGCTAAACCCTAAACCCCTAAACCCTAAACCCTTATGGTCTTTAGTACCTTTACTAGAGTAATGCCTTTGCAGCCTGGGTGCAGGCTTACCAGTCTCCTCCTTCTCAGCGCTGGGCAGCGGCACGTAAGACTTCTTGGCCTCTTCGTACTCAGCCTTCTTTGTCTCGTACTCCGCTTGGTAGACCTTCTTCTCGTCTTCGCTGAGGTTCTTCCACTTTTCGGATGCCAGCTTCGTGATGGCCGTGATGGGCTGGCCCTCGACTTCCTTGGTGAAAGCCGCCCGGTTCTTGGCAAGGAAGCAGCCAAATGCCCCGCCGGCTGGCTTCTTCGGTGCCGCAGGGTCTTTCTTGGGCTTGGACGCTTTGTCGGCCTTCCTCTTGGTGCCCTTCTTTTCGCCGCCGGCATCGAGGAAGGCTTTCATGTCAGCCTCGTACTTTGCCTTAGCTTCGTCAAACTTCTTCTGGTACTCGGCCTTCACATCCTCCCCGAGGGTCTTGTAGCCTTAGCTGCCGAGTCCATAAAGACCCCTCCAAGTTTAAGCTTTCAGTTCTCTCAGAGGTCGTATTATCGGCAGTATAAAATAAGATATACACTATACATAAATAAATAAAAAATAAAAGCAAATATAAATATAAATATACATACATAAATAAATAAATAAATATATATATATATGTATATATTTACATTAAGACCTACACTAATATATATATATATATGTACAGATATGATACCCTAAACCCTAAACCCTACACTATGACTACTTCAGCTGCTAAGTAGCGGTTCCCGGCCAGCTTGGCCACCTCGGAAGCGGGCTTTCCAGGCCCCAGCCTTGGCTGACTTTCTGAACCACTCCAAAAAGTTCAACTTTTAGTTCCGAAAAGTTCAACTTTTAGTTCCAAAAAGTTCAACTTTCAGTTCCAAAAAGGTTAAACTTTTAGTTCCAAAAAGTTAAACTTTTAGTTCCAAAAAGTTAAACTTTTAGTCTCCTTATTATAGTTATATGGAAACCCAAATAGCTAAGCTTCTAGTCTCCTTATTATAGTTATATGGACACCCAAAAAGTTAAAGTCTTAGTCTCCTTATTATAGTTAGATGGAAACCCCGAAAAGTTGAAGTCCTAAGAGCCAACCAGAAGAACACCAAGAAGCTCCTTCTGCAGCTCCGCCCGGTGCTCCTAAGGACGCGCTCTTTCAGGGAACTTAGGGGTTTAGGCTTTTAGGGTTTAGGGTTTTAGGGCTTCAGGGTTTAGGGTTTCAGGGTATACGATTTCAGGGTTTACGGTTTCAGGGTTTAGGGTTTCAGGGTTTGCGGTTTCAGGGTTTACGGTTTCAGGGTTTAGGGTTTCAGGGTTTAGCCAGTTTAGCTTAAGGTACCAGACTGTAGGGCTCTTGAGGAATTTTTTTTAGCAAGATGGTACCATACTTTAGGGCTCTTAATGAACATGTTAGCTCAAGGTACATTACTTTAGGCTTCATCTAAGGGTTTAGGATTCAGTAAGGAAGTTCTTTGCAAGATGGTACCATGCTTCAGGGTTCATTTAAAGGGTTTAGTTTTAGGGTCACGGAGTTTAGGTTAGCTTAAGGTAGCATACTTTAGGGTCCATTTATGGGTTTAGGATTAGGGAGTTTTGGTTAGTTTTAGGTACCACACTTTAGGGTGCCTTTAAGGCTCTCTGGAATGTTTAGTTGAAGGTAGCATGCTGCAGGGTTCCTTTAATAAGGGTTCAGGATTAAGGGGTTTAGTTTACGGCGCCATACTTTAGGCTTCCTGTAAGGCCGCAATAAGGATTGCTGCAAGAGTTTAGGGCGAAGGAGCTGTAAGGATTCCTGCAAGGGTTCATGTACGTTGCCATAATAAGGATCTATAGTAAACAGATATGGTTTCTCCTACTGTGGTACCTTAAACTAAAGTCGTTGAATACTACCATAGATTATGGTAATTGAAACTGAGTTGCTTAAATATTATGGCTCTCTTATTGTGGTAATTTAAACTAAGTTCCTGAACACAAGCCCAGGCTCTCCCACCCAGATTCCATAGGCTCCCCCGATCGGCTTCTTCGGCTGCTCACCGGCCATGTTTCGGGGAATTGGAGGAGCGAAGGGAAAGAGACGGCGGGCCACTAGAGAGAGGGCGTACCTTTGAGGCCGGTACAGGCAGCCAAGCGACCATGCATACTCCGTGAACTTCTGAAATCGCCTCTTTGTTTCTTACACAAATGCCGTGTCACGACTCCTGACTGGTCTGTCTTCGGTTCGGTTCATTTCACTCGCACCTCTGTGAATGAGTGACAAAAAAAGATAAGGGCCCATATAGGGTCTCGGGTTGGGTTTTATACATGTGCATTCATCTGCTTTCAGAGATTGGCTTACCTGTCTAAGCCCTGGAAAACCGAAAGTTCGTGAAGCCCTCAACCCTGGCCCTTGAACCCCGGAGTGTAGGCTTGAAAAGTTAAGTGAAGTCGCACTGCATCAGGTTTGTGCTGGGTGGGGGTAAGTTTACGGTTTAGGCCCCTAGCCCCCAAAGACAAACGGTCCTCGTGCTCCTTACGATGAAGCCCGTGCACAATCGCGCATTAAAACAGGTCTTTTGGCTTGCAGAGGTAGGCTCCGAAACTCGAGTATGGGGGCCTTGATAATTAGAACAGGGTTTTAGTGTATGTTGTCCTATACAAAAAATACTATAAGGGTTTAGGGTTTAGAGACCTTAATAATTAGAACAGGGTCTTAGTGTATGTAGTCCTATACATATAATATAATGAGGAACCCCAAAATAGTATTGGTACTTATTTCGGCCCCTAAATTAAACCCTGACAGGCAGGGCGCTCTCCCACAAAAGCTGCGGAAGTGGCATGGGCGCCTCAGTGCAGAGAAGACACAAAGTAATGAGCTCGTGAAGTTGAAGGATGGTTTGGGGTGGATTTAGGGTGTAGGGGTTTAGGGGGTTTAGGGGGTTTAGGGTCTAGTGGATTTAGGGCTTTGGGGGTTTGTTTAGAGAAGGGATGGCAACTGTCAGAATGTCAAGCGGGCATCGACAACACTTCTCCCCACTGCAGGTGCTGATGCCACCCTCATAACTCTACACCCTAAACCCTAAACCCTAAACCCAAAGCCCTAAGCACTAAGCCCTAAGCCCTGAGCCCTAAACCCTAAACCCTAAGACCTAAACCCTAACCGCTAAGCCCCAAACCGCTAAACCCTACACTTCATGGCATCTAGGTAGAGGAAACGACGTGAGTCGCTACTTCTCCAGCCGGCTTGCAAAACCGGAAGATGAGCTAGACATTCTGTAGCGGCCTCAATAATTGATCTAGATTTAGGGGCTCCAATAATGATCTAGATTACTTGGAGGTTCATGGGTAGTTATAAGTGGGGTTATAACTAGGGTAACTGTACTTATAACCCATATTCGGGACTTATAACTCCACTTGTAACTACCCATGAACCTCCAACTAGCCAGGTGTTGGACAAGAAGGAGCAGCCTGTGAGGGAAGCAAAGGCACTTCAGCTCCGTCTGCGTCCATCGGCACCTCCCTGCCAAGCCAATCCCATCCTCCGGAAGAGCTGTGCTGGTCGGTTTCACGGTTTAGGGTTTAGGTTCAGGGTTTAGGGTTTAGCGTTTAGGCTCAGGGTTTATGGTTTAGGTTCAGGGTTTAGGGTTTAGCGTTTAGGCTCAGGGTTTAAGGTTTAGGTTCAGGGTTTAGGGTTTAGGGTTTAGGGTTTAGGCTCTAAGCCCTACACCCTAAACCCAAACCGTAAAGGGTCGCCGAAGCTCGGAATAGTGCGACGGTCTTAACATTTGCTTGTCCGATAAGCCACAGAAACGCAGGGTGAAAGCTTCAGGCTGCTAGTAAACTATACTGTAAGAGCCCAAAAAGGCGTAGGGTTTAGGGTTTAGGCTTTTACGGTTTAGGCTTTAGGGTTTAGGGTTTAGGTTTTTAGGTTTTAAACTTTTAGGTTTTAGGGTTTAGGGTGAAGTAACTGGAAGTTTTGCCCTGATTGCTACATGTCATGGAGGTTCAACGGCATGTGCTCTGCGCTGATGGTGGTTGTCGCACTTCGTAACCTGTGCCTACTTGGAGGTTTATGGGTAGTTATACGTGGGGTTATAAGTACGGTAAGTGTAGTTATAACCCATATTAGGGGACTTATGACTCCACGTATAACTACCCATGAACCTCCCAGTATACATCTCGCGACCAAATCAGCATCGTAAACCCTAAACCCTAAACCCTAAACCGATGCCTGCATGAAACTGTCTCTCGATCAACACAACAAAGCAATACTGACAGCATCCAGGCCCGGACCCTAGCGTTTTGTTGGGCTCTAGGCTAGTATGGGGACCTTAATAGTTCGAATCGGGTTATCGGGGGCTAAGATTTACTTGTTTACTACTTTTGGGTTTTGATGACTCAGGGTTTAAGTTTAAGGCTTATGAATAGGGGGGTTTAGGGTCTTTCTTGCTGACACACAACACAACCTCGATGAACGTATAGGGGCCCAAAAAATTCCAAATGGGGCTTTGGTGCATACCATAGTACAGTAAGAATAGGAACCACAGGAAACAAGTAGAGTTATTAATTACTCCGACCCTATACCAAATTAGGAGCCCTTGAAGGAACCCTTACATAAAATGAACCCTTGGAGATTGGCCCAGGCACCGCGAGCAATCTGCCCAAGTGCGTTCATGGCCAAGAGTAGATCTCGGCCTTCGTCTAGTAATAAAGGGCCGTCATGAATAGAATGGGGCTTTAAAAAGGTTCTGTAAAGGTTATGCCATACCCTAAACCCTAAACCCTTGAGCCCTTAAACCTTAAACCCTCAACCCTACCTTGAGGAATAGTATTGGTAATGATTCAAGTTTCTAGATTCTAGAAGAGGATTTCAAACAAGTCCCTGAACACACGTAAACACAGACAGACAGACAGACAGACAGACAGACAGACAAACAGCCAGCCATCCAGCCAGCCAGCCAGCCAGGCAGCCAGGCAGGCAGGCAGGCAGGCAGGCAGGCAGGCAGGCAGGCAGGCAGGCAGACAGACACACAGACAAAGACTCACAAACACACAGACACACAGACACACAGACACACAGACACACAGACACACAGACACACACACACACACACACACACAAACAAACACACACACACACACACAAACACACACACAAACACAAAAACACACACACACACACACACACACACACACACACACTTACTTGAACACCCAGGCTTCTGGGA